GAAAGCTTATAGTTCAATCAAAAACTAAATGTTACCTGTAATGAACAGAAGTAAGGACCTGAGAAAGCAAAGAGGAAATTGGGACTCTAGCGCTATATCCATTAATTGCGTCATAGAAAACATAGGTCTGGCCAAGGGACTGAAAGGCAAATTAGGGCAACACAAGGCAGATTTTGAAAAGGGCCTTGAAGGAATGGGCAAGAATTATTATTTAGCGTGAGTAGAAAACAACGAGCTAGCAAAAGGCTTTGGCGGGGGGGGGCAGGGGAAACTATCTGGATGCCCCTGCTGCTTCCCCATCTGTGTAAGGGGCAGTATAATCCTAGCTTTGAAAATACACAGCACTAACATCCCACCAAAACCCACCCCAATCTATGTATAGTACTGAAACACAAAGAAAATTATGAGCTCAAAAGAGACACAGCAGCCCTGAGACTACTGAATTTGCTGTACCAATTACGTATCTGCAATATTACATATTCTCCAACCAAATACTATCAGTGTGGTTCTCAAAGCAATTCAAAGACACTGATGTACTTCATCAAATCATTTTTGGACATCCCACAAGCTTTCAAGAGAATCATGGTTCTTAAGAGTAAAGCAAACAACACCATTTGTTCACATGTTTTATTACAATCTGGTTTTCAAAAACTTGTTTCTTTCTTCCATGTTTTTTCTGCTTGAATTTTTATATTTGTTTAGAGGTAAAGAAAAATCTTTGCATTTCTCAAATGCCAGCTTTTTTTGTTCTTTTAAGAGAGCAAAAGGTGGCTTCCAATACTCCATTAAACAAGGACTCACATCTGCCAGTCTGCAGGGAAAGCAGGCTGAGGCATCAAAAGTATTGCAGTTAGTGAATTCAATCCTTCTGATGCAATCAGTCTGCAATGTGATCTGATTAAATTTAAAGACTCAAACCTGAAGTCCAGTACTTCAGGTCCAGAAATAAGTAGACAAACAGTATGAAAGAGCAGTCTGCTGTGGGCTTAAATAAACCCTAGACTCCACAGTTCAGGTTAAGATTTCTAAAGAATGCAAACCAGGTGGATTGATTTAACACAGCATTAAAAAAAAAACAACTGGGAAAGAAAAACATGTACATCAAAAAATAATCGTGAGGCCATCTTCTCGGTGTAAAATAATTAGTGGAATGTGTGACATATAAAATAAATTTCTGCACATATACCCACACTGCCACCATCAGCCTCGCTTTCTCATTTATTTAGGTGAACCTGTAATTGGCAAACAGGCACTTACTCACGGGTAACAGTGGAGGTGCTGAGCTGCTGGAGACTTCGACACTGCTGCAAAACAGAGTATGTGTTCGTATGTGTTTGTGCAATGGACACTTGCTGTGCAATATTATCTTGTCTCTACAGATAAATTAGTTGCATCATGCTCCTACCAGCTTGATTTGTTTAGCCTTTACGGAGTAGAGAGTACACGGAGTTTCTTGTGATTGAATCTCACATAAAAGGTAAACCTGAGAGTTTATTCTACACTATGCTATACATCCACCAAGGCATCTAGAGCATTTGCTGACTTGATGTTGAAGGCTATAAAATATACCGGGAAAATCTTGAAACGCCACTCACTTGACATAGCAATAAGAGCCCTGCATTAAGATGCAGAGCTGATTTCCCTGATCCATGAAATTGCCTGGATATTTAAAGCCTTCTCAAACAGAACCGGCATGAAACTCACCCTCCATTCCTGGCACAAGGACACCATGGTTTTTGTGTTCTCCAAGAAAAACAGAGCTCAAAATTGCAGAGGTAAATAGTCTTTAAAAGAGGACCTAAACATAATTTCCTTCCTTTCTCAAGTAAGAAGTAAGTAAGTATTCAAAACGTCTTTAATGCTGGAAGATGGTTATGCTCGCTGACACACTGCTCAGAGACGCTCAGGTTCTCTGTTGTGACTTTGTGCAAGAACCTCTTACAATAAAACACCAAGTGTGCAAGTCTGTGACGACCTTTGGAGAGGGACATTTGTCCCTCTCATAAATAGGTAATGGGGCTGGAATAGGCACAATCTGTGGACAGCTATGAAAAAGATTATGATGCAATATATTGTATTATTTTATGGTCTGAGATCTGGGATATTGTTCAGAATTCCTCACCAAATGTATATTTTCAGCTGCTAAAGGATAAGAAAAGACCCATCTATACTTCCAAAGTATTGGTGAGCTGAGGGTCAGGTATAAGTATAATTTCTTCCAAAGACCCATCCAATGCAAACACATAGACTGCAATAATGGGGGAATTTGAAAGGACCATAAGCTTTCCTAGAACACTGTTCTGCAGGCTCTGCTAGCTTAGATTCAGAGGACCGCATCCACAAGGAACAGAGTACAGCAATAACAGAGCTACATGTTGGGTTATAAACAGCTTCCCACGAGGTAACTAGGAAGTGGCCCAAGAGGGACCACTAAAGTATCCTGACACTGCAGTACGTGGTACATCTGACTGAAACCTGCACACACCAGCAGGTTTCACACCAGCACAATGAACATGTAACATTGGCAGACAATCTTATCACTGATTTCTATCCAAAATCACACTGAAAGGGTAATCTCCTTTAAACCTGGTACATGCATTGCACAAACAATTTTTGGCATCTCCATAGCAAAGAAAGATCTGAGACTCAGACTGAGGTCCCATATTTTTCTTGGACATGGATTACCATTTCTTCTTGTTGACAAAGAAAGAGGATTTCCTAATCTTTTTCAGATTAAATTTCTCAGTCAGTTTTTGTCTTCAGCTAGGCTGATACCTCTTCCCATTTTGTAGTAAAGCTTTGCACTGACCAATTTAACAGCCAGTACTCTTCCCTTGCTTCCTGTAATTCTTTTCTTACATAGCACATACAGTAGCCTGTATTTATACAGGTATACAGAATTATAAAAAACACTACTGGAAAGGACGCTGGAAGCCATCTGGTATGTGACCCCGTTCAAAGCAAGATCAGCTACACCTAATTAGCTCCTGACATACGCTTGCCTACCCTATTGAAACAGACACTCCACAAACTCCCTTGGATACTTACCGTGATGCTTTGCTATTCTTACTATTAGAATGTTTTTCTAACGTTTAGTCTGTTCCAGAAATTTTAATTAACAGTTCCCTTAGAGGAAGACTGGATTATTGTGCATTCTGATACATGAAGAAAAAGACATACAGAAACACATGACACATTGAATTTAAGGTTCATAAATTATTTGTAGATCACATAGGTGGTTTTTCAAACTTCCTGACTAAAAACAGTTTAAATGGAACCAGCTATTTATGTATCCCTCCTATTGTTCACTTTAAAGAAGATCTTGATCATAGTTAGTTCTTCCCCAGTTCAAGTTTTGAAAGCTCTAAGTTCTCTGAAGAAAATAGTTTTTGACATTTTTGGATGATAAACCTCCCAAAGTGATGATGATAAATTACAGTGTTGCCCAATGATGCAGAAAAGTAGAAAAATGCAAACTGCTAACCTCTGATTTATGAATACACACTCTTTATTACAGAGTCTAGGGGTTCACAGCTCTAAGAGCGGGTCATTTTCATCTCATTGCTTATTAAAAGTCTGAAAAGAAAGCACGACGGGTGGCTACCATTTTGCAATGTATTGGATAAACACTTAATGCTCTGTCTCCAGTATGAATGCAAGATGATACAAAATTTCTTGCCTTTTTAAGGCCTACATAAGCATTTGTTGTTGTTCACAATCACAGAAGATGAGAATATTTGCATCTAGTTTTGCTCATTCATACTAGCCAATTTTCTCACATTTTAATATAGTCATTCCTATAAACCTTTTATTTACATGGAAAAAAACATTTGCCGTAGATATTAAAAGAAATCCTGTCATCTGCTTGTTAAAACATTGGTGTTAATGACAAAATTTACTTTGGAAAGTATTTGAACTAAGACTTTCACCTGTCAACAGGCATTCCCAGTGAAACCCACCCAATGCACTAAGTCACGAGCCGAGGAATCTGTTTTGTCACAGTACTGAAGTAAATTGTATTACATTCCTTCATCACTCCTCAGCTTCCCAAAGCCCGGGGATTTTCTAATTTCTTCTTTTCTCTCCCCATTACCTCTCTGCTAAATATTCAAAGCAGGCAACAAAAAGGAGTAGGAAAAATAAGGTCAATACAGCAAATTGGAAAGAAGTAAAATGTTTCTGTACGCCATCATTTGGTTGTTACAGTTATCTTAATCAACCCAAACAGCTTCTTTGAGACATCTAATTTGATTTTACAAAGTGCTAACCCATAGCCATATTTGACTTTCCTTTGATTCCAAATGTAAAAAATAGCCTTTATCTAATGTTCAGGCATATAATCTAACTACACATGCATTTGCATTTGCATTACGAGGCAGTGAAACATGGCTGGAGAGCCATCTTGGATGTTATCTATGTTATTACTCAAGTGGAGAGTATAATCATAAATCCTTTTCTTCCCCTCCACCCCCCTGCCTTTTTTTCAGAAGTACACTTAAAATCTGTTTTTAAGCTTCACTGGCTCTATTACATTTGAACTTCAGTAACAAGAATGTGATATGAATATGTAGAGAGAAAGCATAGACAAAAAGTCTATTTTCTTAATGTGGTTCAGTTTAACTCTTGCTATAATTAGCTACAACTCATTAGGCAATAAAAAGACAAACAAAGAGATTATGAATGGAAGGGCAATATTTTCTCCACAAAACAAACAAAAAACTTTAACAGATGCCTCTTTTCTAAGGCTTTTCTTGCATAAATACACGCAGCAGCTTAGAAAAGATATTTTCATGACTGAAAATTTTTGTCTAGAAAGAAAACCTGTAAACATTGTCCTGTGCAATTTCAATAAAAAGTATTTACAGCTATTGCACGCTTGGGATTTTTTGATCTCAAGGATAAAGTAACAATACAGCAGTGGTCTGCAGATGACTAGCTTTGATCTTTTATTAGTTCTTATAATTGCCTCTTAACTTTTATTCTGCATAATAAGCACTCACCTTTACTGTTTGTCCAGCTTCGGGCCCATCCTGTAAGCAAAGGGACAAGTTTCAGGTTAGAGGAACTAAGAAGGATCATACAGGGCTTCAGAAATCTTACTCAATAATCATTTACATCCAATTTCACTGTATGTTAATTTAACATATTTTCCTGGGGACCATTCAACACAAAGTTTTTGGACAAGGCGCCTTTCCATATCAGGCCATGGCAAAGTGAGAAACTGTACCTTAGACCACAAAAATGACAGTTGTTATTTTTCATTCTTTCAGATCATATTTTTTAATAGCTAGCAATAGATTTCTTATCCTTGTGACTATAAAATCAGACACGTAAGTGAGAATTTAATCAAAACATGCTTGCTGAAATTCTTATTCTAATGAAATGGGCTTAGTGTCCTGATTTGCTTTAAACACAGATCTTTTTTGGTATAAAGACACCCAGCACAAATAACTGAAAGGTCAGAATTGATAACGTATTTACATGGCTGCATCTTATCTTTCTTCCTGCATACAAATAGCTGTGAGCAGGAATTACCTGTTTCCATCAGAAGCCGTGGGTTACCTGCTG